CCAGGTACGTACACCTGCTCACGTAGTTATCCATCTCTTACCTTCCCTGGAATAGTAATAGTGTACCGGCAATTAGGGTTCTAGGGCCCAATAGGTATTACCCCCTTTTTTCTCTGCATTATGCTTCAGTTAGTGGTCCCGCGAGGCCAACACCCCGCCTCACACTCGGAGGCATACACCCCTCGGGCCACTCGTGAGCTAGCCGCCTCGCATTGTATCATAGAGAGGGCCTCACCTGTCACTCCCCTTCCTATTTTTCTGGTTACTGTCACCGAGAGGCCAACATCCTGCCACAACGTTCGGTGGCCACACAAAATCCCCTCGCGCCAAGCATAGATAGAGCCTCTCGAGCCACTTGGCAACTAGCAGGGCCTCACCAGTCACCAAAAAAAAAAAAAAACACCAAGCCTAATCGTTTCGCCTTACGGCTTAGCTAGCAAGCCGGTACAAGACCCCTGGGTACAAATATATAATTGCAATCTTTATTGTTATTTAAGTATTTCTCAAAAAGATGGTAAAGAATCACCTCTTCCTAGCACCACGGCTAGAAGTGATACACCTTCATCTCTTACCTTCCCTGGAATAGTAGTAATGTACTGGCAATTAGGGTTCTATGGCCCAATAGGTATTACCCCCTGTTTCTCTGCTTTACGCTTCGGTTAGTGGTCCCGCGAGGCCAACACCCTTCCTCACACTCTGAGGCATACACCCCTCGGGCCACTCGTGAGCTAGCTGCCTCGCATTGTATCATAGAGAGGGCCTCACCTGTCACTCCCCCTCCTATTTTCTGGTTACTGTCACCGAGAGGCCAACATCCTGCCACAACGTTCGGTGGCCACAAAAAAAAAAAATTTCCCTCACCAGTCACCAAAAAACACCAAGCCTAATCGTTTCGCCTTACGGCTTAGCTAGCAAGCCAGTACAAGACCCCTGGGTACAAATAATAATTGCAATATTTATTGTTAAGTATTTCTCAAAAAGATGGTGAAGAATCACCTCTTCCTGGCACCCCGGCTAGAAGTGATACACCTTCAAGCAGAGGAGATGTGGCTCCGACCTAAGGAGGCGACAAATACCCTACCCTGCCACAGCAAGGAAAGCAGAATTATTCAAACTCCTCCATACATCAATGGACAACACGGAGGCAGGGGAAGGCCCAGCAACACCAACTCAGGTGACACCCAGGCCATGCTAGCCTCACTCATAAACTCATGAGCCAAAAAATTTACGACAGACTGGCAATTTCGAGTCAGTCACAGCCCTCACAAGGCTGGGCCTCATGCTACTGTACAACCAGCACCAACCGAAACTCGGTTACTTGGTACAAGACGTTAACCCTGCACATATGATCCCGGCACATTGGGGAAACAAGGCATATATATGTATGATGATGTATCTATGATGGTCAGACCCAGGGATTCTAGGTAAATCGGGAACTGACCATCCCTTGGTTATGTTGGCATTTGGAATATGTAGAGATGCTTATTTGTGCAGGTACCCATACAGAAGGGATTTTCTCCCAAACAAACGGGTGAGCACTCTCAGGCTCCAGGTACCAGCACCTCTGAACTACCATCGACAATTGGTATTAGTAGTTGCATTGCATATAGACTGTTGCATATATGTTCAAATCATTCAGGGCACATGACAAACCATGTGTCCCAATACAACTTACAAATAACGTACTCTGCATCTGTACACACCAATGCATTTTCAACACTACTGACTCATCACCCTTCCAGACTTGTAGTAGAGTTACTAAGGCTCTGGAGCTTCAAAGGGCTCCCATACAGGTATCATAAATAAACTCTCAAGGAATATAGCATGCCCTCACTTACAGTCAGCACAACAGAACTGTCGGCTGTAAACACACTCATAGCCAAGATTTGCAGAGGGGTTTTTACTTGGGTTTTCCAATCTCCACCATTTACAGCATGGCACCAAACACAAATGCATTGGTATTGTCACAAGGGAATCTTCCCTTAAACAAAGACTAACCATAGACTTATTGGCACCACACACCTTCGCTACCCCAAGTCTCAACTCCCTCATACCCTCCGAGGAGTTTCCTTACTATACACACCATTGATCTACCTTTACAGCTATCACTCAAGCAGGGGTTGAAGCTTCGTTAAGTAAGACCAATATCATCAACACAGTAAACGGCTATCATCTACCCTATAAACTGGCACTTACATGGCATAAAATGGGCAATCCTTTCCCCGCTAAAAGCAGCTGCTGTGGCATGGGGTAAATCATGGTCAGGGTCATCAATCCGTTGTTACTCAGACAACTGAGCACATGTCATATCATCAACAAATGCCACTCATCATCCATACGATCATGGTATTGCTGGGGAACTCACTTGGTTGGCCACTTACCACATTTCTTTTACTTTCATGTACCAGGCGTTGGTATACATCCTTGCCGACAATTGTCTCATTTATATTCCAGGCATGTTTATCATACGCTTCCTACAGACTTATATACAGTCACGGCCACTCTTTCGTTCCAGAGACAAAATCATGGATTAGACATACTCATGCAGCATAGCATGCACGATCCCACCTAGCACTTTCATCCCATACTTGTAGAACGCACCTATTCACCTGGCTTTAAAGAATCTCATTGGAACACGACATAGCTCAACCTGTGTCATAACATTTCTCCTAGGTTTTGCTTCATTTTTTGCCACCTTAAACTAAAACCATCTCACACACCATTAATTATATATTTTACAGGCATTCAACAACACAGGATAACCTATGGCCAAAACTACCATAACTTCATGCTATCATACCAGACAAGAATATACTCAGAGGTTTTCAGGAATCCATCCCCCCACGTTCCTCACAGATATTACCAATAGCCATCCATCTTTTCCATCCTTATTGGACCTATTAGAGCTACAACATTTCTATTATACTACCAAGTTGGCCATTACCAGCCATGCACACTGCCTTTTATGCCTTTCTCAGGCCAGAGAATCCACTACCATAACCACCACTCAGACAGATCATTGTCTTCAACGATCCCACGTGTGTAAACACATATCATTACCTATTGGCTCTACCACATTCCGAAACGAGTCAACACGCACCAACAGTAGAGATAACATACTATCCTACCCACAACAAATGGTGTCCAGTTGCGGTCCTAGATTCCTACCTTCAAAAATCCTTCAAGGAATTAAATACCGTAATGCATTTAAGGAAATGTCTGGTTAATTTGTATATATTGTTGACTGTATTAAATCTTTGATTATTCTTTTTGCCCTCTTTATTTACAGGCCTACCGTATCGTCGGTCTCGGCACACCACAACCGACTTGCTCCCTTTATACTATCCTACGCTTATGCTGGAACCTTACTCCATATACGGCTATTTGCCCCGAACACAAGTTTTAAGGCCGTTTGGCCTGTATTTGTGGGAGGGGCTTAAATTAATTCACTCCCCTATATAAGGGACACCCCTTACCTGACTCCATATCGCTTGAGGTCAGCATCAGAATGACCCTCCCACCCACTCCTCATTTCAACACTTTCTCTTTTCTTTCCATTTACTTTACTTTCTTACTCCTTGGTGGGCCCTCTTTATTTACAGGCCTACCGTATCGTCGGTCTTGGCACACCACAACCGACTTGCTCCCTTTATACTATCCTACGCTTATGCTGGAACCTTACTCCATATACGGCTATTTGCCCCGAACACAAATATATATATACATATATATATAAATATATATATATATTTATATATCTTTATTCTATAATATCTGTTAGTCTCCCTACATATATATAACTATATTCTTGCTAATTATTCTTTCATATGCATAGATGTGAAATATTACTGTAGCAGTAAGAAGTACACTAATTTTAGAACATTGGCATTTGGTGAAAAGGAGATGTAATGATTTCCATCCCTTTTCCTCTTATAAAACAGGAGTGAAATTATTTTGAATATTTTTGGAACAGAGCAGAAGACAAACTGATGAACTTAATTGATGCTACTTATTCACTAGAGTTTTAGATCTTCTGTTCATGCAGCATCGAGCTAATGCTTGTATTTCATCAAAATAACTATATTATTGGGGGTTTAGTAGGATGGGCGACTTTCTGAACAGAGTGTCACGCCTGGTTTTGTGGTGGATCCTTTTGTTCTGTCTTGTTTTTATCATTTTTAGTTTTGGTTAGGAATTTCTTTATTGTAGACTGGTTTTGAATCTACACTGGATAGTGTACAATATAGTATATTGTCTATGTCGTAAATTAGGTAATACAAGCATTAAGATTTTCAGGTACTGCTTGCTTGATATCAGGGGTCAAGTCCTGTGGAAAAAAGTGTGGGAACTCACCCAAGATTCCCGCTTCACCCCCCTCCCCCCCTTAAAAAAAAAAAAATTACATTCCTATGCATATAGTGCAGTGCAGAGTGTGTATAATGAATGTAGTGTGTTTGTAGTGAATGCAGAGTATGAATTATAAATGTAGTGTGTTTGTAGTGAGTGCAGAGTGTGTATAATGAATGCAGAGTGTGTATAGTGAATGTAGTGTGTTTGTAGTGAGTGCAGAGTGTGTATAATGAATGCAGTGTGTTTTTAGTGAGTGCAGAGTGTGTATAATGAATGCAGTGTTTTTAGTGAGTGCAGAGTGTGTATAATGAATGCAGTGTGTTTTTAGTGAGTGCAGAGTGTGTATAATGAATGTAGTGTATTTGTAGTGAGTGCAGTGTGTATAACAAATGTAGTGTGTTTGTAGTGAGTGCAGTGTGTATAGTGAATGTAGTGTTTTGTAGTGAGTGCAGAGTGTGTATAATGAATGCAGAGTGTGTATAGTGAATGTAGTGTGTTTGTAGTGAGTGCAGAGTGTGTATAATGAATGTAGTGTGTTTGTAGTAAGTGCAAATTGTGTATAATAAATTTAGTGTGTTTGTAGTGAGTGCAGAGTGTGTACAATGAATGCAGTGTATGTAGTGTGTTTGTAGTAGTGAATGTAGTGTGTAGTGAGTGCAGAATGTGTATAATGAATGCAGAGTGTGTATAGTGAATGTAGTATGTTTGTAGTGAGTGTATAGTTAATGTAGTGTGTTTTTAGTGAGTGAAGAGTGTGTATAATGAATGCAGTGTGTGCGTGTGCTGGATGATGTGTGTGTGAGTGCTGGATGATGTGTGTGTGACTGCGTGTGCTGGATGATGTGTGTGTGTGAGTGCTGGAGGATGTGTGTGTGACTGCGTGTGCTGGATGATGTGTGTGTGACTGCGTGTGCTGGATGATGTGTGTGTGTGAGTGCTGGATGATGTGTGTGTGAGAGTGCTGGATGATGGGTGTGTGTGAGTGCTGGATGATGGGTGTGTGTGAGTGCTGGATGATGTGTGTGTGTGTGCTGGATGATGGGTGTGTGAGTGCTGGATGATGGGTGTGTGTGTGTGTGCTGGATGATGGGTGTGGAGGAGTGCTGGATGATGGGTGTGTGGAGTGAGTGCTGGATGATGGGTGTGTGGAGTGCTGGATGATGCGGGAGTGCTGGATGATGTGGGTGTGTGGAGTGCTGGATGATGTGTGTGTGTGAGTGCTGGAAGGAAGGTGTGTGAGTGCTGGATGATGTGGGCGGATGCTGGATGATGTGTGTGGAGTGCTGGATGATGGGTGTGTGAGTGCATGATGTGGGTGTGTGAGTGCTGGATGATGGGTGTGTGAGTGGAGTGCTGGATGATGTGCGGGGTGGGGAGTGCTGGATGATGTGTGTGTGTGTGTGAGTGCTGGATGATGGGTGTGTGTGTGCTGGATGATGGGTGTGTGTGTGCTGGATGATGGGTGTGTGTGCTGGATGATGTGTGTGTGAGTGCTGGATGATGTGTGTGTGTGTGTTGGATGATGGGTGTGTGAGTGAGTGCTGGATGATGGGTGTGTGAGTGTGTGCTGGATGATGGATGTGTGAGTGAGTGCTGGATGATGTGTGTGTGTGTGCTGGATGATGTGTGTGTGTGTGCTGGATGATGGGTGTGTGAGTGAGTGCTGGATGATGGGTGTGTGAGTGCTCGATGATGGGTGTGTGTGTGCTGGATAATGGGTGTGTGTGTGCTGGATGATGGGTGTGTGAGTGAGTGCTGGATGATGGGTGTGTGTGTGCTGGATGATGGGTGTGTGAGTGAGTGCTGGATGATGGGGGGGGAGGGGACATTTTTTTTTACTTTACGTATAATATTTATTTTATTCCCCCCTCCCTGCTTCTTACCTTGTCAGGGAGGGGGGAGATCGCCTGGTGGTCCGGTGGTATGCTGGAGGGAGCCAGCCGCTGCACACAGGAGCCATCGCACGTTGTGTTCCCTCTCCAGCTCTAACTCTCGCGAGACTCGCCTGTGCGGAGCGTTGCCATGGTAACAGCCGCGGGTCTCGCGAGAGTTATAGCTGGAGAGGGAACACAGCGTGTGATGGCCCCTCTGTGCAGGTAGCAGGGCCGGTCCTGCAGGACAGGTAACGGGAACGGCGTTCCTGCTTTGGAAAAAGTGCAGGAACGCCGTTCCCATGCGTTCCTGCAGGACTCGAGCCCTGCTCTTCACAGATGAAAGTAGGTTCAAACTGAGCACATGTGACAGACGTGACAGAGTCTGGAGACATCGTGGAGAACGTTCTGCTGCCTGCAACATCCTCCAGCATGACCGGTTTGGCAGTGGGTCAGTAATGGTGTGGGGTGGCATTTCTTTGGGGGGCCGCACAGCTCTCCATATGCTCGCCAGAGGTAGCCTGACTGCCATTAGGTACCCAGATGAGATCCTCAGACCCCTTGTGAGACAATATGCTGGCGCGGTGGGTCTAGGGTCCTCCTAATGCAAGACAATGCTAGACCTCATGTGGCTGGAGTGTGTCAGCAGTTCCTGCAAGACGAAGGCATTGATACTATGGACTGGCCCGCCCATTCCCCAGAACTGAATCCAATTGAGCACATCTGGGACATCATGTCTCCCTCCATCCACCAACGTCATGCTGCACCACAGACTGTCCAGGAGTTGGCAGATGCTTTAATCCAAGTCTGGGAGGAGATCCCTCAGGAGACCATTCGCCACCTCATCAGGAGCATGCACAGGCGTTGTAGGGAGGTCATGCAGGCACGTGGAGGCCACACACACTACTGAGCCTCATTTTGACTTGTTTTAAGGACATTACATCAAAGTTGGATCAAAGCCTCATTTTGACTTGTTTTAAGGACATTACATCAAAGTTGGATGTTTTTCCACTTTAATTTTGAGTGTGACTCCAAATCCACACTCCAAAACCCCATGGGTTGAAAAATTTGATTTCCATTTTTTTATTTTTGTGTGATTTTGTTTTCAGCACATTCAACACATTCATATTTAATTCATTCAGATCTAGGATGTGTTATTTTTGTGTTCCCTTTATTTTTTGAGCAGTATATATCAAAAAATAAGTAATGCTCTCAAACTCCCACTATTCCTGGGCGGCAGCAATGACTATAGTGCACATCAGCCCCAATACATAGAGTAAAAACCAAAGAAAAAAGTAATTTCGAATGGCCTTTAAAGTGTAAGCTCATCTTTCAGGTCAAGGCAAAAACCTCTTCATAGACATACACACATGTGAACAAACTCACACGTACATACACTTTTTAGCACACATCCATATCCACATACACATACATTCATTCATCCAGGCATACTCACTCACAAACATTGTCCTTCCTGCATCATAGTTATTACAGAGTGGGGGGAATAAAGGCTGTAATCCTAAACTCCTGGCATCTAGAGTTTTGGTAGCTGGAGAACCATGCATAAGGCCGCACAGTCTTTCCTCCTCCTCCCCAATGTAATTGGCATAAGGTACCCAGATATGATCTCACATCCCATTATCAGCTGTTAGTGTTATTATGTATCAGGAATGACTATTGGCACTGATTCTGACCACTACAAAGCCCAGTCTCTAGATTCCAGAAATGTCACTGAACGCCACTCAGTATCGGAGCTGACACCTACAAGGCCCAGTTAAATGTTAGATAATTATTATCTATTGTATATCACAGTGTTTCCCAAACCAGTGCTCAAGACCCACCAACAGTCCAGGTTTTGTCAATATCTACATTGGAATAAAACAGGGAAATACATAAACGATGGACTGTTGGTGGGCCATGGGGACTGTTTGGGAACCACTGGTTTATCAAGTTCTTATTGATGTTATGTCTCGGTGTAATACCCCAACATGCAGAATTTAGGATAGCAAGGGACAAGACTTGGAAATAACATATTACCGGGCCTTAGAATGGCCAGACTAAACCTTAGACAGAGGAAAAGTGTAATCAGAGACGAACCGAGGTCAAGGTAACAGAGAGACCGCGAAAACAAGAACTAGCAAGAGTCAGGTAGACAGTAATCAGTCAGACGGCAAACAAGACAGGAAAGGGTTAAAGATAAATTCAGAGTCAGATACAAAGCCACGGTCAATATCAGAATAAACACAATAGATCAAGGAATGCATGAAGGAGCCTTAAAGCATACTGAAACAGAGACCATGATAGAGCAAAGTGGATAGGGCTTGGAAAGTTTAAATATCTTTAACTAATATTTGATTGACCCACGTCATGCAAACGCCCCAAACACGCTTGCTGAAGTGCTTTATGTCCGAAGAGTGTGTCATTATTTCTTTTTACAAAAACTGCAGATTTCAATAGAGATTGGCACTTTTATAAAGGATATTTGTTACACCCCCCCGGCTGTCAATCAGACAACCGGTCCTGTAACTTCCTGGTTTGGTAAGTGCAGAGGAGCTAAACTCAAGAATCAGAAATTGTTCAGAGCACCTGCCTTGCAAAGACTTATCATATACAGTGATACAGCTCACTGAGAAGTCTGTGGTTGGACAGCCACAGAAAGCCATATATACTAGATATGCAGCTATTGCAAGGTTTTATATAACCACCCTAAAAAAACATGCAAAACAAATTGCATGCATATATTAATTGGGATATATCTACTAAACTGATAGAGTTCCTTTAAGTAATGCTTCAGATATTTTTGTTTTTTAGATCAGAGCAATATAAAAAACTATTGTAGAACTTGTGTAACAATTTACAAAGCACACTGTGTGCTGCCATTGAATGAAAGAATAAGAAATGTAAATATATGTGAAACCATTCACCTAAATCTTTTAAGTACCACGTTCACATTGGAAGCCTCTCTGAAGGTCAAATTTTAGCATTTTGAATGAAGGATGAACAATGTAGACATCTCTAGTTAAACTACTAAATCTGTTGTAGACATATTAACTTCCTCTTTTAAGATTAATCTGATGTTGATACATTGGATTTCACAATGGCAGTTTGGATGTGACATACGAATGGCCATAGGACTTGTGTCCCTTGATGGGACATGGCTTTCTGTCTTACCTGTAACCTTCTTAGTTCCAGTCTATCACAGGTCTAAATTGAACTTCTTAGTGTTCGTTGCCCTGTGCTTTTACCAATGAGGACATTGCCCTCCAGCATTTGATTGGCTGTGGGTACTTATGCTATAGGCTTTTAGATAATGTAATAAGAGGACGGATTAAAGTCTCAGACTGCCCTTTGTGTTAGACTATTCTAGATAATCCTTTGCTTAATCTTCTTTAGCTCAGAGCAGCGTCTTGGGGTAAATTGATACTCCTGGGAGCTAGCTGTTCTTCCTGCAGTGTCCGAGACATGCAGATAGAAACCTAGAAGGAAATTCAACGTATCCCAGAACTCAAAACACGAAAGCTGAGCATGAAATGATCAATTAATTAGATCTACAGCAGAGTAGTTTGAAGTTAGAGTACTTTGAACTGTATCGATGTATGTCTTCACACCTTCGTTACCTAGAAATGTATTACAACAGCTATGCATTGCCAGGAGAACAAAAAAATCTACACTTACACAGAGTTAGTCTCAATCAACTGGGAACTGTCAGAGAATTAGAAAGTTTAGGCAAAAATCGCGGGACAGGAAAAAAATTCTCCAACTCAGGCATTCATTTTATTAATATTTATTCATATTTCCCAGGTTAATTCTCAAAAATTTCTGGTTTATGGAATAAAAGCGTAAGAGAAAAAACATTTCAGATTTCTTTGAGCTAATATTTAGGGCTTAATGGGCAAATGTGTTATTGCAAAAAACTATACATTAACAATAAATTGTCATATGTTGCTCACTAACCTGAGCTAGAGTCCCAAAATGAAATATTTATTTTTAACTCATGATCTATAGATTTTTCTTAATGCTGAAATGCATAGG